ACCAATTAAGTAACTTTATCCTAAACAAGACAAAATGCAAATATCATTAGGTACATCATCTTTCATGTAGGTGAAAGGTATGTTGCGGAGTCCTGGTAGTTCCTATCGCAGTGGAAACAATTTACCATCGTCGGTATTCGAAGCCTGGATGCAGAGACGGATATTCAATGACCTCACACATCCCTACCTGTCGGCAAGTGAGCACCGCCGCTCACGGACGCAACACCAAAAACTAAAACTTAAAAAAAAACAATAATTCTTGGGTATACAATTTAATTTTCGTGTATCTCTGAAGCGGCTACAATTATTTGTATTATTTTTTTTTTATTTGGATCACGTTTTTTCTTTTTAAGTTTATCTATATATCTTACCTGTCAAGCGATTTTTAAGGTACACAAAAGAAAATGCACTACAAATGAGCATGGGTCATCTCATAAATTTTCGAAGTTTGTCTTGTAGACGTTATCAGAATAGACAATTACCAAAAAAAATCATATACATTACACAGGAAAAAAAAACGCAGGGCGGAGCTCTACTAGGTTGTTATGTAAACTGTTTGCTTTTTCACAATAACATAATTATTAAATAAATAAAACACATTCTACGTGTTTCATATTTTTTATTTCAATATTTCTATCGGTTTACTATTAGCGACTTTTGGGCTAACGAAATAACATAAAAATGCGGAGCCTGAACTCTCGCTATGTAGCCCCCATAGATTTCGAATGTAATGTTAGATCCTAAGTCTATGGTCACCCCTGAAATATGTTCCTCGACGCGAGCTTCTGGCTTCGCATATGACCACATGGAATTGTACCCCAATTCATTACTTATTAAAATTACAAATTACAGAGAGTACACCGAATTAATTTTTAGCCGCTTGGTTTCGGTTAATGCGCAGTTTAGCCGGCTAAAGTTCAAATAACTCGACACAAATTACCTTTTGATCGAACTTTAGCCAGTCCTCGAAGATAAACCTAAGTTTAGCCAGCTAATCTTAAGTTTATGTTCACACCCACCTTTAGCCGTAACATAATATAAACGATACGTTCAAAACGTTAGTTATTCTAAACTGAATGAATTACGCAACAAAAGCACCATAAAAAGACTATATTTTTCTGTTTTCTTTAGCTAAAGATTATTAAAATTATAATATTCTGAAATAAATTAAACAAATATTTAAAGTCTTTAACAGACCGCCCTATTTAAGATTTGATTGATAAATGCAACGAGAATACCCTCGTATTTATTAATCTAATAAATTAAATTAATCTAATAGTGTTATAAGCGATATAAACTTTAAAATTATTGATAATTAAATAATTTTTGGTTTAATTTTGATATCTTGACAATTCTTTTTTCATTTTCAATCGCCTGAAGAAAAATAAGTTTTTTGTATAACTTAATTGGGCTTATTTGTAAAAACCTGTGTAAAGTTGTCTTAGTAGTTGTCTCAACAGTTATAAATGGTTAATAGTTAGACTAGCAACGAATAGTATATTCGGCTATTCCCCAATTACTAACGAATATTTGGCGGACTTCCTCACCTTATAGTAAAGTAATCGTTAATCATCATAAAACAATTACGGTTATGAGTAAATAAAGTGAAATAACAGCGTGTACATGTCCCATTGCTGGGCAAAGGCCTGTCCTGTACAGAGGGTATCAAGGCATAGTCCACCACGCGACCCCACTGCGGATTGCTGGACTTCACATATCTTCGAAATATTTTTTTGTTATTATTTCGAAAATATGCAGGTTTCCTAACGATAATTTCCTTCACCGCTGAGCACGTGATAAGTCAGCACTTAATATTTCGATTTCATTGGTGCCGGAACCGACTGACAGCGATCGAACTAGACTGCTAGAGTATATTGAATTAAAGCGAGCATTTCGGCTTCTAGGAGCTATCACGACTCGGTTCTCTAAGAGTACTTTCAATATTTAATTTATCAATTATTTGTCTAAAACAAAAGATCGTTTTAGGTATTATAGGCCGAATTTAATAAAAGTAGCCGAATAGGCCGAGTGCCGACTAATAGTCAAATATTTGTTGCAAGTCTATAACAATATTATAAAAACCATGTAAAACGGACGTCTTATTGAAATCTCACCACTCTTAATGCAAACCAGGTACACAGATTAAGCCAAAGTTTATTGATTTCCCAAGCTGCATTAACTTTAGCAATTTAAAAACTCACTGGTACAATTTTAATATAACTTGAATATTATTAGAACAGAAGCCACCGGCCTCTATAATAATGACAATCGTATTTAATTATTGAATTTTTCCAAATTATATTACTCTATAACGATTTTTATTTTAACTATTTCTTTTATTTCCTTTACCATCATTTATTTATCTACTTACGGTTTATTTCCTCCATTTATTTACAAAACACTAACGTGATGTCTATATTCCGGAGAGGGGTGATTTTTACCGTAACATGTTCATTTAGCGCTAATTTATGTAATACTCACTATTGTCAGGTCCTTAAGAGATATCGATACTGATGTTTCCATTTTTAAAGGCAGTACAGATTTATGTAAATATAAAACGTATATATATATGCAGGTAAAAATTAAAAAGAAATGCATTCCTACAATTCAATAAAAAAATTCTTCTTTGACGCATCTGAATCCATATCAGAGTCTCGTCTGAAAAGAAAAAAAATAGTCAAATCGTACCGAAATTAATAAGACCACAGAAATAAACTATTAGGAGTAAAACCATTTTCTAAATGGCTTGAACTGGCCATTTTGTCGAAAAATCAATATAAAAATATAGATTTATAAAAAAATTTATGATTTTGAATTTTACAAATAACAATCAATAATCATGCACAAACAAACATTCTTACCTTGATAACGAAACACGGCAACCAACAAAACCTGTGTGTTAGCACAAAACTCACAAATAAGTGATATAAACTAAAATCTGTTATTGCAATACTTTTTTTATCTACGGTGATGTAAAACATGAAATAATTCAGTGCTCATAATGTGCAAAATTACAATTAATTAACAAATTAAATACGCGGTGAGTAGGTATATTGTATTGAGGTAGGTAACGACATATGAAAATAACTGAAACACGTACAACATACACATTACACGTTTTTATTTGATTATTACCTTCATATACACATAAGTACTTTTCTCATTGTACAAATACATCGATTATATAGTAAACAATAGCTCTCGCAACCTTCAACAAGACGGTACAAAACGATATACAGTACAGAGGTAATAACAACAATTTCAACATCTTATGAGTTGTCGATGGCTGTCTCTGGTCCTTCGTAGTTTAAAACAAAAAAACAATTGTGGAAATGACATTATGACGTTTCAGTGGGCGCGTCAGAAAATAAGGCATTAATTTTCGCACATATTTAATTTCACTTAATTAATCCAATTAGATCGAATTGGTACTAGACCAAAAAAAGTTTATTAGGATTTGGCGCCAAAACCAAATGTTTTCACAGGAACAGAGACCTATAATTAAGATTAAATATTTTAGCAGACCTTGCTTTTATATTAGTTATTATTTATGATTCGACGTTTATAGAGTTTATAAATGCAATTTTATAATTTGTAACAAGGTAATTGTTGATGAGATTATTTGACGACTTCAATACATCTATGTTTATAAAGTAAAAACCGAAGAGTAAAATAATATAATATCATTTAAATGAAAGAAAATTGTCTACTTAAAACTAAAAGTACTAATTACATGTAAAATCATCAATCGATATTAAAGCAAAAGGAGATTACTAGGTATAAATGGGATGGCTTCTCTTAAGGGTTACCTTGTCTTAATAACAAAAGAATATAATCGTGAAAAGTTAAGAGATTTTTTTTTTCAATTAAAAATAAATCAGTCTATGGTTGTTACAAACATGTGATACAAAAAGATCTCATATAATGGCCACTATTATAATGAGCAAAAGAAACAATAAACAACTATAATTTAAAACGATTCTAAAAATATAACTTTATAATAAATAAGTTTGTAGTAACTATGGCAGTAGGTTATCTATTATAATCTTAGAAGTTATATTATCTTTACCTTTATTCAACAACAATGTTAGAAAAGGTAGGTATATTTATGATTTGCATTGACACTATAAGAAAGAAACTTTTCAAGAAAGAGAACGAGCATTGTTTTCTGTTCTTCTTCTTCATCTTTTATTTTCTATTCGAGTATTCAACAGTTCATTTTTCTAAAACATCTTCATGAAAACATGAACATTTGGCTAAATTGAGATGACGAGAACGACACTAAAGCTTATTGTCGATTATATATTGATAAACTGCAAAGCACCAGTAACACCAATAAAATACTGTTATAGTAGAGAGCTACACGTAGAAAAGCTACATAACGAACTACTTATATATAAAGTGTAAAAAGGTACATAGTTAAGAAAGTACGTCCAGATATACTCTGTTATTACTTTTTTTATTTTTATCTATGATGTCATAGTTTAGCGGCAAACAATTATTATATTCAAATAGAAAAAGTAATAACAAAATATATACTTAAATGTAAAAATTATGTTTTTGTTTCATTATTTTTAGTTATTTGTTTTTTTCTTTTCATTCTTTCCTTTACATTTTGGGTAGATAAGTTATAATTTTGTAATGTACAGTCTGTTATTTGACTTGTTTTTGAGTTAATTATGTGAATGTGTTTTAAAATATCAAGCCGTATAATTCGGCTTGTCTCCTGAACTAGAATCGGCTCTACTGGAGAAAGGGCAATCATTGAGCAAAGATTTTGGCAAAATTATTAATTACGTGCCATTCATGAACCCACCTAACGCGGGAAAGCTAACATTTCATTATAAAACGATCAGCACTGGTGGCTTCGACGGCTAAAACGGGCCCGACAACACAAAGCGACGTTTCTCTACGTTAAATTCAAGCCTGCAATCTTTGACTCGAACACGCCTCATATTTGGACAATTCTATAGCGCAAGTTCACGTCAGCTCCAACGTTAACAATGTTTCTCCTCGCTGTGCATTTGCTGCATGTGCTGATGTACCTCGTACGTCGTTATCGTAAGGCTTGACGTCTCGGAAGTGAGGTGTTGCACTTCCACCTGTTATAGAAATGTACCAGTTGAGTATACAACACAAAGACTCTGTTCGAGATCGAAACAGCTGAGAAGGAAAAAGGACTTGTTCACTGTAGTTCAGGGTCTCAACAACAGATGGCGTTTGCGTTCAAAATATTGTATTTGATTAAAGTCATAAGTCAAAATTTCTTTATTCAATATAGGCTTTATTTAAGCTCTTATAGAACGTCATAAAAATTACGATTAAGGAAAGATTCGCGGTTTTTGCTCTAACTTAACATGTGAAAAAAAAAGCCAATTTATTTTTGACTACTAAATGAATGGGCTGGCGGTAGTTCTATTGAGATCCCCGAGTTTAGTGAAATAGCCAAGTGAATAGCCATTTAAATAAGTAAAAAATCAGCCTTTCTGATCTTCTATTTCTTTAAATGTCGTCTTTGTTTTCCATAATTAGACTCATTGGGACTTGAATATCCTACGGAATTATAATATAAATGAAATACTTTATAATGTATGGTTTCGATCTTACCTTTACATCTTCGGCTTCATCTTGAAAATAACAAAAATATATGTTTAAAGCCGAGCAGTAGGAAAAAAAGCTTTAGAAAGCTTTCAACTAAGTGCTATACGGTTCGTTTTATAGTATGTGCATAAATACAGTTTCATAAATTTTAATTCTGTTTATTGAAAATATCGATTGAATATTTATTCAGTAGATTTTCTCATGTAAGCTGTTTCACTTTGAATTCATATCTGCTTCAAGCGAATCACTTTGGAATTCAACATAGTAAATCATGCACGCTTAAGTACAAAGATAACCCACTCCTGTATTTTACTTAAAACTATCTTTTATTATTGCGTAAAAGCAAGTGACAGCGTCAGAGGAAGGTGATATAATCGATGTGAATTTGCAAACTGATTGTTGTTCTCTTTCCAAATTTTTATTCTACACTTCGACTGTCTTAAATAGTTAACAACAACAGAATGTACAATGTTATATTGATATAATGATAACAACGACATATAACACATCAGTTTCTTATTCAAAAGACTTAATTATATCAAAGGAGGCCATGCGTATTGGATATCTTACAAAAATAAAATAAATATAAACATTTTTCCAATACAAAATGTTATCATTCATTGGAAAATTTCGCAAACAACACGGGCTCGATTTCCAATACATTCCATTGATAAAATTTCACATGGTCTCCGTTCACGATAGTCGTTAATAAATAGATCAGTAAGTATCTTAAGAATATTTGCTAAAATATTGGTATCTGCATTTTCTCGAAGAATATAATTAGATATATGAACCCCTACCAAATAAATTCTCAAAATGTTCATAAACGAAGTATACAATTGACTTAAACCTTAAAACGATTAACATACCTCAACTAGATATCCACAAATCAAATATGTAACGAAATATTTTCATTAAATACGCGCAAAAACGATTTTTTTAAGTTAGGTAGATACTCTATTTTAGGTACAAGTAGGTATCTTTACCTACAAGTGGACTATGACAGTAGGAAAATAAAATTAATTGCCGCCGGAATAATAAATGTAACGTTTAAAATTTTACGTAAATAAAATGCGATGATAATAATAAGAATATTAAATAATTTCCATTACAATAAATTTTATCCGTTTCAAATTTGACGTAGTGTAGCTAAAACATTACATAAGATACTCACAGATCCCTAAAATATGTCTGAACGAGATTACATTTAACAAACGATAAGCGGTACAGCCGTCTTCGTTAAATTGCTTTTAATTTGACAACCTTTTATTGATACACACGGGTAAAAACGAACGTGTTAACACTAACATTGGTCTTTTTCGATTGTGGCAACACTGAGCCGCGATATAAGTAAATTGTAACAATTTCTATCTATTATACACCGACGATTCTATAAACAAGTATTGCTCTACAAGTTTTGAGTAAACATGAATATCGTTTGCAAATACTCTTCAGAAACATTTAGCTATAAATTATAAAACACACACTCCTTGGTACATTGAATAAGTACAGATAAAAAATTAATCTGAAACCACGATCATATTTATGAGAACCTTCAAATTTTAACTTCTAAAATTAACCTAGTTATTAAATTTGTACTATGCAAACGGATCAACATTATTAAATAGTCGAAAATTCTGTTATAAATTATAACATAAACAGATAATCATTGTTAGACGCCTGCTATTGTATTTCATGCAAAATTCCATTTCACCGACAAATAATAAAATTCGAATTGTTTTTAACTTCGTTACGTTAAAAAAAATTGAGATAGCTTTTTATGTTTTAAACGTATACAAAAATGGTAAATATAAATTCAATCAGTTATAATAATTAAATTCAATCAAAATCAAAATCAGTCATTTTATTTCATACAGATAACTACCACATTTTATTTCGTACACATTGAAAGGCGCATATTAAAATACTTTAAAAAACTAATTGGTATGCTTTGTTCGTATTGTTTTAAAAGAGGATTTTAACAAATGGCAATCTTTTTTTCTCATCGTTAGTGTTGCCTTCTTCTGAATATCAAAACAGTTATACAAAAATAAGGGATCATTATAAAACTACAATCATTTTAATTAATGTTTGAAACAAATAACGGTCCCATCTGGGCCCCTTATTTTTCTTCCTCTGGCCGAAAATAATGAATTCCGGAGTAAAATAATGAAAAAGTGTTACGAAAATATAGCGTGTAACGGGAAACGCGAATTGGCGTATTTACACTGACGTAAATGATAACATAGACAAACAATCGATTCGTCAAATACTAATCTAAAACACGCTTTCGAATCACTAGTAAAATTATTTAATACAGAATACTTTATTGCAGTTTTAATAGAAGAAAATTTAATCCCAAATGTAAAGAGTTAAAGCATTTCTTACACTCCTCAATTGGAAGCACCAGCGTATATTTAAATGTCGTCGTACGTGGTAAAGAGTAATTAATTTCCATCTAAAAGCTAGCGTCGAAACTGTTAAAAAAACGGAATAAGCTATTGGTTACATAGTTATGCTAGTGGTATTTTCTTAATCATTTATAATCTTTCTCCACTTTATCTTTTAAGTGCAACTATACCACCCACCATTAAAGCAGCGTCCAAAATAAAAAAGTAGCATTAATTTACTTGCTAATGCGCTGAAATATAAGTCTCGTAAGGCCTTCAATTAAAACAATATTTTTAATGCGTATACAAATTGTAAAAACTAACGGTAAACCTTGAAAATAAAACTGAAGTTGAACTGAATTTTACCGATCCGATTACGTGATTTATAATCTGTAGTGTGAGCTGTTTACTAAATTTCAGTTAACCGTTAGCTTTTATTTCGTAGTTTGAAAGCTTTTGCAAAAATAATGCAATATGGTGAGGTGTTATTGATACCTTCACCTCGTGTTATACCTACCAACTGTGCCAGTGGTTAGTGACGTCATTTTGTGCGGTACGACTGACAGAATCACAGGTAATATAACATTGAAATGAACCAATTCAACCCTCTACTAAAAAACTCTGGCACAGACTAAGAAGCGAAAGATGCGATATTAAATATGAAATTAAAATCTTTTTTTATAAACAATGAATTTAACAATATTACTTAATTAAACGATTGACGAAAAATCCAAAAATGCTTATCTGCAGATTTTTTTGTTACATTTTACATATTTCATTACTATTACTAGTTTTGTAGGTTAATGTAATTAAATTAAGTCTTTTATTCTATGTTGTACTTTTAATTTAAATGCATATAGGTATACAATGTTAATCTTAATTTTTAAGTGCATCACACCAGAATTATAACTATTTGATTAATTATTTAAATAAATAAAAAAAAAAAACAAAAAGCACCGAACGAGGGTTGAACGGCACGTCAAAATTACGTCACTCTCTTGACAAAGCAAAGATTCCCTCAGTCGCAGTATCATAAACCGACCACCACTGTCTCCGACTTACCACTTCGCTGGTGAGGCAGTTGATGGTGGTGGGTGGTGCCATGCGCGCGGGGGGAGGGGGCGCGCGGGGGGATCGACGCCCTTCGCTCGGTGTTGCTCCACGGGCTGGGGTAATGGGGTAGCCTTAAGGAAAAACCAACGGATTCACTCAAATTATCCCTATATAATGACTACACAGTATAAAACAAAGTCGTCCCGCCGTCTGTCCGTCCCTAGGTATGCTTAGATCTTTAAAACTACGCAACGGATCTTGATGCGGTTTTTTGACCAGATAGAGTGATTCAAGAGAAATATATATAATACATTGCACCCGTGCAAAGCCGCGGCGGGTAGCTAATCCTGAATAAACGAAACGAGAGCCGTGATAGCTCAAGTGTCCGGGCGCTTGCTCTTAATACAAGTATACTCAAGGAAACACAGTTAAAATCTCGGGACCGATGAAATCGTTAATTTTAAGTGCTGACTTATCAAGTGCTCAGCGGTGATGGAAAACATCGTGAGGGAAACTGCATATTTTCGTATTACGATGAAGAGTTGAAGGCGGCAATTGATGAACATTTTTCAGACGGGACAGAAAAATATTTTAGAAGGTATTGAAAAGTTACATTCCCACTCAATTAAGAGTAATGGCGATGGGGGACTATAATAAACACTAAAATAAATTTTATTCAGAATTATCTGCTTATTATTTCATGATTACACCGAGAATACATTGAACGCCCCTCGTACATAGAAGAGTTCATGTCTAAATACATTACAACCACAAAAATTTTCTATGTTAGTTGTTTATGTTATTCTACATGTTAATATTATTCAAGGTTTAATAAAGATACGCAGTGAGAGGGTGCATCAATACCTTGTTCACTACTACTAGACTCGGTAAAGCTCGGCGTGCCTTCAGTCCAAGTTGGCGTTGATCCCTCCACGGACGCAGGCGGCGTCCAACACACACTGCAAATTGAAAACGTAATTATATACGAATGTATATGTGTATGAGCTCCGACCGTACGACACGAGTGTGACAGAGAGCGACACGTGTCACTTGACCTTGTCGGTCCTCCGACCAATGCTTAATAGACATACACTCACTTTGTTTGAAGTTTGGAGACAAGGCGAGTTTACCCTGTCTTTCTGTGGTTATTTGTGATTTGGTTGACATTAAACTGAATATCACTGTCCAAAACAAAATCTAAGACATAATACATTTAATCCGTCACTAAATCTGTACACAATTATGTTACATTTAGTTACAGTTTAAAATTAAAGAAAAAATCATAAAAGTATTAAAAAAATTGTGAAAGTAATACAAAAACAAAAGGCATTTATATTATATTCATCTGGTCCGGCGATACCTGGCCTCGTTGCTCCGCGCGCTGACCAGCGCCGGGGTCAGGGCCAGCGAGGAGGCGGAGGAGGTGGTCACCACGCTGGCCGCACTGGAAGCGCCGCGCCTTCGCCCCGACGCGCTTGATGACGTCGTCGACGAGGAGTTGGTGCGGCTGGTGCGCGGCGGCGGCGCCTCCTCGAAGGGGGGCGGCGGCGTCGAGCAGCACGGGAGCGCCGCGGCTGGCGAGACACTAGCGTTACCACGCGATACTACCGTAGCTCGCTCGCTACTCTAGCTGTGCGCACAACCCTTATCTACGGTGACGGTGAGACAAAGTATCGAACATCAGATGAGACACTAGCGTTACCACGCGATTCTACCGTAGCTCGCCCCGCTACTATGGCTGTGCGCACAACCTTTATCTACGGTGACGGTGAGACAAACTATCGAACATCAGATGAGACACTAGCGTAACCACGCGATGCTACCGTAGCTCGCCCCGCTACTCTAGCTGTGCGCACAACCTTATATACTTTGACAGTGAGAGACGAACAATCTAACATCAGATGCGATGTTCCAGTTGAGACCTTCTTTTCATGTTGTATATGGCACGCGATTTTGACTGGACTTCATTTAATTAGCATGAAAAAATATGTAATCTGAAAATGAAATGAGATTGAAACTACACTAGCTGTTTATATCGATGAAGTCAATAGTTTGATTAGATTATGGTGTGAACGATAATACTGATAAGTGAGTTCCAGTAATATTTATTACATGCATGGAAAGGATACGATTCTTTAGGTTAGTGTACATGCAAATCACAACACAGGATCTCATACATGACTATAATATATAATTACAAGAAAATCTAAACTGGCACAGTGCGGTAAAAATTGTACGAACTATATGAAGGAATTACTGAATACCATGCACATTATTCATTTGTATTCTTTCAGTTATATTGACTCATCTACAATCAGTGAAAGCCCTTATTAACTATATATCATATATCATTAGTATGGCACACTTGGCTTCATCTTTCCGATATACTCAAACATATTCCTCCACGTCCTTTGTCATTCGGATAATTCTATTTGCTTCAGATTTCCGTTTAAAGCTCTCTCTAAGCCTTTGCCCAGACGTCCTAGCGGCCGCTTTGGTTTCCGGCACTGGTATTACGGTGAACCTCTTTATTTTATCGTGGACATTGCCGCTGACGGGTCTAGAAACTAAGGGTTTGACGTCGGTGGCGTGTGGCGAGTAAGGCTTTTGCTCAACGGGCGCTCTGCTGTTGTGCGCCGGTGGTCGGGATTCGAAGATTTTCCTAGCCTCGCTCACAATATCCCTTCGCCTGACCGTCGGCGGTCTACGCGCCCTCGAACTCTCAACAGACGATATCGAACTGCGACGCGAGCTGTTCTCCGAGTCGGTTTGCATTTTCGCGATGCTCCTTTGGAACATGTCGATGTTCGTCTTCGCCTTCTTGTGGCAAACGTCGACTTTCGGTCCGCCCGAATGCTCCTCGCTGTAGGTTCTGATCTCGATTTTCGGTTTGATCTTGCTCGGCTCCTGTCGAGTTCTATCTTTTCTCGACTGATTAAAATTGAACTTTTTGGAGAGTCCGTACATTAGGCTCGATTTGGCGGAAGTTTTGCTGGCAGGGTCGCCTCTTTCAGGGCTCTTAGGTGGCTCTTTCGTCGGCGGAATCGTCCCTATTGGGGATTTCGCCGGAATTAGGTCTGGAGACGGGGAATCTATCGATTCCCTGGGTGAATCTATCACGACAGGTGTAGGTTTAATCTTCCTTTTCTGCCTCATGATGAACTGTAACGGATTCTTCGAATTTTTCACTTTGGGCGCAACCTCCTCATCGCTGTCGTCGCCGTAATCTTTCACTTCCACGGCCACGATTTCCTCATCACTCGTTTCGGTGAACGAGAGATCGTCAAAGTCCCCAGAATCCAGATGTTCTCGAACAACGTTTTCGATATTGAACTTGGCCATCATATTGGTTTGGGCGACCAGATCTTTAGCCGAATTGGACCTTTCAGGTGTGCTGTCGTCTCGAACGTAGTCGGAATATTTGGGAGCAACTGGTTTCGGTGCCTTACGAGGGTGACGCGATGGTGGCGGCGGTGGTGGTGATCGAACACGGCATGCACTAATCTCCTTATACTTAACAACATGCCCACAGAAGCCGGGACTACCGTCGCTATGCGCGAACGGCCTCCGCGGCGTTTCACCGCTGACCGGTGCGTTCGAAGTGGGATAGTCACCTTTGGTGTCGTGGCCGGTGGTTTGCGAGTGGCCCCCGCCGCGTTTGGCCTTCGGGGAACCCCTCGGCGGCACGGGCGGGGGCACCCTCTGCTTTTGGGATCCCTTCAACACCGCCGGGAAGGCCACGTCCGGCTCTAGAGCGCTCGTCTTGGGCGCCGCTTGGGTGACCTTCGCCGCTGTCGAGACCGGTGACGTCACCGACGTAGGAGCGATATGCGCCGTGACGTCGGATAAGGAGACTGGTGGGGGGCACAAAAACAACCCGGAGACATTGTATAGATTTATTCGAATACGAGTAAAATTGGTATAAACAGATTTGGCACGTTTCGAAGATTAAAAAGTTAACAGAGTAGATTGTAACAAAAATCAAAAATATTTTGTGTTTAAAAATGGAAGCGTAGTTTTTGTTATTACAGTAGATTGAAATGAATCACATGTCCAAAATTGCGTGTTTGTATTTATATTTTTTAGATGGAGCTTGACCGTCAACGCATCGTATTTATTATTGGTGCATTATTAAGATTAGTGAGTTCGTACAGATAAAATAAACATTATCATGCAATAGGATTGAGGTGAAAATTAAAATGATACCCAATAGTAAAAGATCCGATAGGTCAATAGCAGCATGAAAAAGAGAATTAATGACATTAAGGTTAAGGTTGCTTTCCACAAGAAAATCCCTTCATTTGATTTTATTCCCATTCAGTATTTTGATACTTTATTAAAAATTTCTTTCAGAGAATTGGTCACAGCAATTTCTATGTAACGTCATTATTAAATACTATTTATGAAGAGCTTGCTTAGTTTTAGAGCGACGTTAGGTTTGCTACATATTATTATTAATCTACATATGGCAAGTATACACTAAGAATTAGACGTTATGTACAGATATTTATATACATTTTGTGCATACAAAATACACAACAAAGGCATAATTTCAAAAAGCGAATGCTTTGGCTCTCGTTGAAGTTCTTATATAAATTTAAAAATATCCTTAAACCCAATTTCAGTCTCACCTGCTCTAACGCCGCCGGCACCGCTCGATCCTGCCGCGCCTAATCCGTCAAGAGAGCGTGCAAATATTAAAATGTCATGTGTAAATTTTGTACCAATCTATAGCATCAGATCAGATAGTTTAAGATACTTTGTGATCGATACAATTCTATTTCATACATAACACTTCCAAAATTACGTAAGTTTTTTTCCTTACAAAAAATTATCAGAATTCGTGACGCTCCACCATAACAAGTAGTTCGTTTTCACCATAATCATTATTTCAGTCTGTTTGAGGCCACTGCTGAACAAAGGCCTCCCCCACAGACTGTCATGAAGTACGATCCTGAGCCACCTGCATCCATCTACTTCCTGCACATTTGCACAGGTCGTCACTCCATCTTGTGGGGGATCATCCTACACTGTGGTGGCCATTACATGGCTGCCACTGAGACTCTTTCTTCTCCATCGGTTATCGATTCTACGAGCTATATGGCCGGCACATGGCCACTTCAACTTATCAATCCTCTGAGCTATGTCGATTTAGTAGTTCGTTTTATTTGATAAAAAAACCTGTTTGTTAAATAATTATAATAAAACAGCAGTACGATGTATAAATCTCATTTATTTCAACATTTAATATAAATATTTTGGTCATAATCTGTGGCAGGCGTACAAATAACGACGGCTCGTTATTAATAAACAAATAAAACACTATCAACATTTACATTATAGATTTAGCGAGTCGTTCAATAAATAGTTTTCAATAATAAGTTATAAGATACGAAACCACGGCAGAATACGCAAACCCGAACACATAGATCAATTTCATTATTTAAGAAAACCCCACACATATTTGGTAACCGTTATATACAAAATCAAATTATAGAATACTTATAAGTAAGATTAGATCACACTGCTCTAGGACGTAACATTTCCGAGTGAGTGTATTCGCCGCGGTGAAGTAACTAAAGTAAATAAGGTAACTGAAGTCGTGACAAAATAAACTACGTAACATAATGTGAGGAATTAAATAAGGGCGCGGGCACACAATAACTTTGTATCAATACTTGTGAAATCGTCAATAGCACTAATGGCACGGAATTGAAGAAATGATATACTTAACAGTCTTAACACAGTAAAACTTATAACATATTGTTGGGACGACACAAGAGGTTTCTGCTTCTACAGCGGTTATGCGACTTTGTGCTCTATTACGCTTGCATACTGCTGGTTTTTGTGCTACCGAAATCGGTATTGATACAAAGTTACTGGCACCCATTTGGCTTTGCTTGTCCTTTGAAAAGTATGGTTTCGTATTCGATTTTTAATAGGATTAAGTAATGAACGCCATATGGGCGTTGGCAGAAAATTAAAGTTCATTATGCAAAGGTAGAATTACGAATCAATTTGCAACTCCACTGTCAATATCACGCACCTTTTCGTGCCATTGAATAGTTTACAAGGATTACAAATATTTTTATACGAACATACAGAATAACAAGCACGACCATACATTGTAGAAAACGAAGTAGAAATCTAACGTACTTCACAATTTATCTATATTTTTATTCAAGCTATCGTTATTTCATTTATTGTTCCGTTCACGTTTATTACATTTGTGACATGTAAAAGGAATGTGTTGAAATCTATGTCATAAAAACAATAGGTATTATTTTGTCGATAGAGCAATAATTCGACAATTATACACACGTTTATCATATATCACCATCTCTTTCATACAAAGAGCGAACGGTAGTCTACACTTATATATTTATGTCTGCAAAGTAAGCATTGGCCTGATTTCGAATTTTTAAATTGGTCATTACTATTAAAAAGCACAATCTTTACATGAGCAGATCATTACGAATATCTTTTATCGTAATTCGAATTACAATTTAAGCCGAATATACCAAAAGCCACTTCGCAATAGTACGAATCGGAGGAGAAATCACAGAGAAGCGTAATGTCGTGATCTGCTTAGAACCTCAGAAAAGAACACCGCCATGATACAGTAGACTTGCTAAAGGCTACATAAGCTCACTACACCACCGTCACACGTTACACGGACAATTTCCCGACCGGAGCGAACGCGTCGGCTCCGACGTACGAGGTGCCCGACGGTTACATACGCGCGTACCGCCGTGTCGCGAGCGTTTCCATACGCGCGTACCGCCGGATCGTACGCGCGTATCACCGTGCCGCGTCGCCCGCGCCGTGCCCGCGTCGCGTTCAATCGGCGGGCGGTACGACGATGATCGTGCTGCCGCTGTCGTTGCCCGTGTAAATCGCCGCCTTGTCCAGGCTCCTCACGTACACCGCGTCCTTCGGCAGGCCGAGCCCGTCGTCCGAGCGGGCGAGGTGCTCGTCGCCGTTCAGCCGCACGACCGACACGTGCGCGTTCGGCGGCGGCGCGCGCGCGACTGGCGCCGGCGACTCGGGCCGTATGTACACCGTCTGCGTGGAGCGCACCTTCCTGAAGCGCATGTCCTTCGGCAGTGTGGACGCCTCGCGGCTCTCGACGGTGGGCGTGACGCTGCGCGTTCTGTAGCTCGAGTTCAGACTCTTCGGCAGCGTGGACTCCCTCGCGGCGGTGGTTGCGTCGCTCGCGATCGGCTCGCTGCCCGACTTCACTATGCCGATGTCCGCGAAGAACTTCTTGAAGCGCTCCACGAAGGTAGGCGAGCGGGCCCTGTTGAAGCTGCTCGAGAGACGCTCGCTCGAGCGCTCCGCTGAGCCTACCTCGTCTATCCTCTCCGGTATGTTGGACGTGCTCTTGTGCCGCTCTAGGGCGTTCGGCCGCCGCCGCCACTGCCTCTCCTCGTCGTCGTCGTCTATGAACGGTATCTCCTGTAGGTTGTTCTCGTTGCGCGTGTCCACCGCGGCGTCCTTCAGGATCTTCACGGCCGGCGCCTCCGCCACGTATATATGGGGCACGCTCGTGCTCGCGTTGTCGGTCTGTATTCCGCTGTCGGCGAGGCTGCCGTTTATGTGGGAGCTGCCGGCGCCCGCGCTGAGCACCTTCGCCAGCTGCTCGGATAGGGATTCCATTCTGTCTTGAACCGTCGCGCGGTAGACGCTGTCCGCGTAAGAGGGCCCCGGCTCCCTGGCCGTGAGGTTGGACGTGTCGAACTCGATGCGACGCTGGAAGGTGGCGCGGTCGATGACCTTCAGCCGGTCGGAGAGCACCGAGGGGTATTCGGTGGCCGCTTGGGCGATCGGGTGGTGCCTCTGGTTCCAGGTCGATATCGTGGTGTCGGTAAAGTCGCTCATGCTAGATCTTAGGGAAGACCTCGGCGACAATCTAGAGGACTGCCTTAGCAGTAGATCGGGGTTATAGTCCTTTATCGTTCGCCCGACGAGTTTCCGTCCTGCGTAACAGACGGCCAAGTTTAATGGAACTCTAGGCACTTTGGGGACGTTTTTTTTTTGTTTTTTTTTTTGCAGTGATACATTTCAGTTTATTTAGTCACATACACACCCGATCGAAATTTCGTTTTGAATCGTGGCGTTCCTCGGTTTCGGGATCACGACACCGACCCACACCGTTACTGTTAGCACACAGAAATGACACGTCACAGCTGTTTTTTTTTTTTTTTAATTTCATTTTCGCGAGAAACACTCATTGAAATCGCGTAGAGGCAAACATGACAAAATTCCACCATTGAAAAATAAAATCAAAAGGAAAGCATGTCGTTGATAAAAAAAATCGAAAATAAAATAAAAATCACAACAGCGATCTACGTAACAAATACCGGGTAGGGAACAGGTTGGGAGGGACAAAAATAAACTGAAATGTATAACAATAATAAAAAAATAAGTACCATTAAAATTCTTGCATTCACATAATGTTAGGAATATAAACAGGTGTCTAATCGTGGTCCGTAAGGTTAAACTAAAAAAAGGAACCAAAACACTATTCCAGTTAATTCATGGTCTAATAAATTAGTACGTATTAATAATAATTGCATACAAGTCATAGGTATTTTATAATCCATACTAAATAACCAACCAACATAGCGGGCTGTTGACAAAATGTCTTCCATACCTGGTGTGTCGATTTCCTCCTGTGGTTTGGCCGGCTTTGCGATACTTTTCCTCTTCGACGGTGAGTGTTTCAGTGCTAAAAGAATATTATATCGTTAGACAAGAACAATGACGAATTGAGAGTATTGTGATGTTACAAAGTTGTTCAAATAAACAATTTAAGCCAAAGGAATCTCTCCAGGGTTTAAAATTAGCTCCATATTTATAAAAATTTCCATTTTAATACACGGAATAACATCACGATACCTCTATGAGGGGATAAACACTACACTAGAAAATAAAATGTAAACACTATCGAATGAAAGAAAAAAAACTTGAAGCGTTGCATTCGAAAAATCTCATCATTAGGCGTTTGCAAACTAAATATAATTTTGTTTTATTTGTTTAGGAAGCTCTTAAGAGAAGTAAAAGACAAAGAAAGAAGTGAAAAGAAATAACTGATGAAGACATGCCAAAAGGAAAAAGAGAGAGAAGACAACTGAAAAAAAAATTGCAAATACATTCAATAACTTCGATTAACAATAGAAGTTAACCGTAGGAGTTTAATATTAATTATATATTCATAATTATAAATACATATATAAATAAAAGAAGTACTGAGAAGGAAAAAAAATGGTTTAAAAACATTTTGTGCAGAACCAGAGCGGTCATTTCAGAAGTCATGAAATCTAAAATTGGCTTCTAACTACCAGGGTGGAAGGATTTGAATAACACTGAACTAGATCTATTAGGAGCCACCAATATTTGGGGGTTTAAGGATAAAACACGTAAAAGTGAAAAACGTTTTAATGCACAATTCTAATTTAATACAAAATATAATATTAATCATTTTTTTAAGTAAACCCTTAAACAGTATTAACAATAAGTTAATCTTTGATATTGACTTTGTAAACTGATGCATTGAAACGCTTTCTAGCAACAATGACAGTATGAGGTAAGGACGAAGAAGTTTCCAGAAAAAAATGGCGGACGAACACATTGTCATGCTTGGGGATAGAGACAATCAATCCATCAACTCATATGAACTTACTCAGACCTCCAGAGACGCGCGCGAGAATCCGATTACGGACAATTGTTTGAAAGAAAGAATGGAAAAAAAAACACAGATATTATTTTCATATGGTGACATTGTTTCAAAAATAGGGGGAAATGGGGGGCGTGCACGACTTTAAAATTAAATTCAAACGTTACTCGTCGAAAATAAACTCATCATGCTGGTAACTTTCGTAAAAATGAAAAAAAAAAAAAAAGTAAAATAATCGTAAACAAAATTTTGAATATGAAGAAAAAAACTGCTTGAAACGAAAAAAAAAAATAATACTCTTATTTTAACTGATGCATGCCGGATACGAAAAAATATCTTTAAATGCTTGAATAAAATTAAAGAGAAAAAAAAAATGGTTAGGCGTCATTGTATTGTTAAAAGTTAACAAAGAAAAAATCACATTCACGAACATAAAAAAATGCCTATATAAAAACAAGGTTTGGGTGTTGGTGATAATATGGCAAACATCAATGCTCAATCGTCTTCTTGTGCGCTAAAACTTGATTAAAACAATGAAACAATTTAGATTACTTGTAGTGTAAGCGTTGTGGTTTCAATAAAAAAAAAACTGATTATTTTAACTTTTACTTTAAAATTAGTTACATGTTTAAAATATATTTAAGAGAGTATATTTCAAGGGGACTTCCAACATGTCTATCGGACGGAAAAGAAAGTTTAAGTGCGTATAACATACCAATATTTTTGTTCAATTTAGGCTTTATTAGAGCAGTTATGAACATTATTAGACAACCCGTCCGCAAATTAAGACCAATCATGAGAAACAACTTCTGGTTCATGTTGTCATATACGTTTATGTTTCTGCTTCATTTCATTCTTTAGGCAAGCTTAACTGACGATCTTGAAGATTAGTAAGAAACAAATTTATGGTTGTGAAAGTATCATACATACGCATATCCCGTGGCCAAAGAGGCTCACACTTTCACTCGCAAAACCGACTTCAAATATGTCACTCACTATACATATTCTTATTTTATCTCCATTATCTGGAGATTTCACACTCGGTTTTCGTAGTATTAATCTTTAAGGTCCAATATCAATAAGACTAAGGGGGTCAGATCACATGGGAGCTAAACCGAACCCAGTGCAAAAAGAATTTTGAAAACCGTTCATACCTGACGGAGTTCTGAGGTAACAAACATAAAAAAACACAACGAAACTGAGGACTTCCTTATTCGCAGTCGATAGAAAACGTTTGAAAAACACAACGAGTTGTCTCACCACCCTTTAGCACCACCAACACCCGCCCCCCACGGACTAAGTACAGGACGCACACAAAGTACATATGAAACGGCGCCACCTCGCCGCCCTACAGTACCTATGTAGCTCGTGACCAGGGTCCTGAACTTGCGGTGGTTGCCCTTGATCTCGGGCAGGTCCACTGGCCAACATACGAGCTAGGTTATTTGCGGTTGCGAGGCATCGGTTAGTAAAGCACGGACATACAAATGCAGTCGGGAAAAACTTATACATATGTATAAAGATATATATACAATGTTATTATATATACGTATATCTCAATATAACGGGAGGCTTTTCTAAGTGTATCCATTTTTTTTTATTAACTCGTAAGTAATTAAGTACATTCATTTGAACTTATCATCTCATTAACTCATTTATTTTACGCGCGATCATTCATAACTAACATGCACACAAGTTCGTTTGTGTTCGTGAAGAGTAAAATTTAGGTATTTATGAATGACTACCGCGTTGTCAACCAGTTCTGTTTTTTAGGGAATAGAAAGGTGGTATTTTTTTGAAAAAAAAAAAGTTTGTTTTTATTTCAATAAACGATTATACTACCAAGTCTGAACCTCCTGTGTAAATTTGGTCACCTTTAAAAAAGCCTCCCTGTGTAAGCTTATAATGGCGGCTTTAAACTACGACGCGGAAATAATTTAGAACTTTTTCTGTATAGAAATGCTTTTTACCCGACTGCGCCAGAAGAAGGGTTATGTTTTTCGAGAGTATGTATGTATGTATAGTTGTTTGACATCTGCAGCCTGAACGGCTTAATGAATTTTCGCTTGAGAGGTGTTATTAAATTCGTATTTACTGTGAGTGTTTATTATCAAGATAATAAATGACACAGAAAAGCAGTCGGGTTTTTTATTTTTTATAAAGAGGATAAAAAAAGTGAAGAATTCACGATTGTTCCCATCAAGTGTTTCAAGCTACGTTGGGGTCGATTAGTCTTAGAATGTATGTTTACATCTATATTTTATAGATATTGTATATCTCCAAAGTTCATATAGAGAATATTTAGAAATTAACGATAGTATATATAATTATCCTATACATAAGGGATGATAGATTAAAATTCACAGATGCAATGAAAAGCAGTTCATGAAACAACAAATATTACAAAGTATTAATATTATTTATCCATTATAAATATTTTAAAGACTCTGATAACCTTTAAAAATAGCAAGTTTAAAAATTGGACTATATAAATACACATTAAAGGCATATGAATATATTTTTTTTTGTTAATACTGTAAAATTAAAAATCTTACATCCGGCGACAGACGGAAACGTTAATACAAAATCTATGTTATCGTCATTTTGAGGCCTTTATTTAAGCGCAGGCCCCAAACCAAATCGACCTTGAAGCTAACAAATTACATATTTATTATTATTGTATACAATAATAATAGTAAGCATATAATAGTATGTTTTGATACAATGAACGGTTTCTATCGAGGGCTATAGATAGTGACGTGTAACAAATTTATAGAACGTACAAAAAATAAAAGCCGGAGTCTTAAAATATCACATGAAGTTAACCAACTTGCGTATAATCCAGCGCGGGCTTAACACAAGGTTAAACATTGCAATATGATTATTGACTTCAGTATTGAAAGAACTAATAACACGTATTAATACCACATAAATTTGCAGGTAATAAGGTAATGATAAAATTCGCCACAATGGTAATTGTAAAGCACTCTAAAAATAGCAGATTGACATGTCTAACTAAATGACAATTCGAAGACAAGAGAAAAAGAGAGGAAATAGATCTCTGGATAATATATGTTGTATTTGGAATACGTGACCCAAATAATTCTCATTTCAATTGAAACTTTCTATTGGTCTATATAAAAACATTCTACTATATTTACGTACGTTTTGTCAAACATTTTCATTAAATATATTAGTGAAAATCTATAATTGTTTAGTATAATATCGTTCGTTTCTAATGCATCAAGTTAATAATGTTTAGGTTAATTTTTAAAATGTATATTTTAAATATAATATTATTTATTTTAATTTTAAATCACAATTGATATCAGTGTATAACCGCACTCAGAGTTAGCAAATAGCAAGCATTAACTTAAACACTTGCGATGTTTAATCTTAAAGACTATCAATAAAACTCACACATACGTACACTTCAACGCTACATAAGTGGTAAATGACATCTCCGAGTACGATTATGACACTTAATAACAACAAACCGGTCAATTCCAAAAAAAGAATATCCATCAACTGACACAATGAGAACAGGAAGTTATACTCACACGAAGGTATTTTCTTGAATACGGTCTTGCCCATGAAATCTAGAAACCTTTGCGCGTAGAAACTCGGTCTGTGCACCGAAACTGTATCCTGCAATCGGCAATGTTCAGTTTTAATGTTTCATCAAAAAATAATGTTGTTGCTGTAATTTAAAAAAGAAAAAAAACAATAGCTGGGTAGGTGAATCGTGTAAATTATTCATATTTATATATTATTAATTTTTGTTCATCTAAGTTATAAGTGATGTTGAATTCTTATTGGCGTACACTTCAATATGACGAGAAATAACCTTCAAGTGTAGGTACCTGTAGTTAAGTTTTTAATTTCATCCGTAGCTATATACAAAATAAAAAAAAAGACTAATACACGTGTACATTCTAACATGTACACAGTCGAACGGCAGCACGTACGTACGACTGATGTAATATACGCGCGTTCACCTTCGTCCGCGGCCATTGTACGCACGTACGCTTGCGTAAACGTCGACCGGACGCACGTGCGTACGCGTTATCGTCTTTCCATGGACGCGCGTTCACCTTCGTCCGCGGCCATTGTACGCGCGCACGCTTGCGTAAACGTCGACCGGACGCACGTGCGTACGCGCTCATCCTCATTCGTTGTACGCGCGTACACGTTCGTCCGCTGCCGATGTACGCGCGTACGCCTGCGTATCGCGACGCGCGTCCACTCACCCCGTCGTGTATCATGCTCTTCCACGTGTGCTCGAGCTTCTTGCGCAGCCGGTACGACTGCAGTATGTCGATGATGCCGAGGAAGAGAAGTAGCCGCTCGCCGCGCGCGTTCCTCGCCGGAATGCCGCCCGGCCTGTTCAAGGATGCATTTCAATCGTCTCACCGACATTGTCACAGCTGTCGTCTATTAGTTCGCAAGACGCCATTCGCCGGGTGTCGTTAAAACATTAACATGCTCATTGTTTTTTTAATATGTTTGAGTAACCACCTCGACTTATCGGTACCACCCTTAGCTTGACTGGTAGAAAATGCTGTCAGAATTAAGTCCGCCTATGTACAGTGTTTTGTGCATGAAGTTTTTAAAATAAAATAAATAAAAATGAAACCACAGTTATTTTAATGTGAAATATGTGTATATTTACAAGTAGTTTATTTTTATATAATTTTGTATTTAAAGTATCTATCACTATTTTGGTTGATTATTTTACTATTTAATTTTAGTTAGTTTTATAAGTTGACTGGCAGAGAATGCCTTGAGGCATTAAGTCCGCCTATTGTGTTCCGTATTAAAGGAAATGCAATAAAGACTAAATAAATAAATAAATATGATTAAATTATATTTAGGGTTTATCGCGTTAATTTTAAAACTTTATTTCCCGACGTTTCAAACCCTTTACAGCGTTCATGCTCACGGGACAGACTGAGGCCTGAGGCGTTGGGCGTCTGAATGTCGTAGTTAACCTGGGCTACCGTCCGGAAATTTTACAAAAAATTAAATTTAAAAATAAAACGCAATAAATCCGTAAATACAGTTCAATTTAATAAAAACAACCGATAGGATAAATGGCAACACTCACGGCACGTCATCTTCCTCGTCGATGGGTTCGCTCTCCGCTTGGATGCTCTCCATCGCCGTGGAGTGGGCCACCAGCCGTTGCCGGTTTATGGACCTGCAAAGCGACCATATAGAGAAATGAGCAAAAGGAACACACAATCTTCTACTAAGATCCACGTAATTAGGCGATGACTGTGAACAATGCAGAGAATATAATAATAATTATAATTGATAATAATTGAATTAATAAATATAATAACAATTGAAATGCGAAAAAACAATGTACATAAAATACATTGAGATTTTCGTCGATGTGACAATCAGCCGTTTAGCTTAGTGGTTAAAGCGTCTGGGCGCGAATCCCGAAGACGTGGGTTCGATTCCCACAGCGGCAAAAATTTTCGTACTATTTTTTTTTAATTCGTACATTAAAGATTTACTTTGCACATTAAAATAGTCGATTTGGATGGGGACGGTGTGAAATATATATTATGTTTAGGTTTAAAAATAATTGTGTTAATTATCCTGTAGTCTATAATCGCTACCTACGTCAAAGGTCTAAAGCTGGCCATTCCTGTTTTTTAACTGTACAGTAGTAGTTTTTTTTTCACTTGTATATAAACGGTGATCTCCAGAAGCGATTATTTAAAAAAAAAACCAAAAACAAATAAAAGATAAAATTATCAACATTATACGATGTTTATTAAGTGCATATTGTAAATTTCCAATTACTATTTTACCTAATTTACCTTGTTTCCCTTTTATTTAATTTAGAGAGGTATTATTTTGGTCAAGATATTTAAAAATTATTTTGTAAAAATTTAATTTTGTAAGCTACGTAAAGTGGTAGAATCCCAATTCAAGTCAAATTTATATTTCTACTGAACATTCACTGACTCATAATTATAAAGTATGATATAGATTCTATAAGAACGTGTAATAAGTACCGACACTATTATTAGAATTACGCTAAAATATAAACGAAACATGCTTTAAAACACATGCAATGTGTAACTAAGTGAGAAGGAGGTTATTGATATGACGAAATTAGTGAGAGACAGAGCACAATTGTTAGAGAACACAAGTCAGGCTATTAACGCTCTAATAGTAATGTCAGTAAGGTCTATAATGGTTCTCTAAACGAAGGTGAGTTTTCGTAAAGGGTGTTTTAGTGGGACATTCGAGTTAAACATAGAGAACAGAGATAGATAGATATCGTACTGAGTCCTTTTCACTTGCATCCTGAAATCCTCCCTGCCTTGTTCCGATCTGAAACGTGTTCAAAGAAAAAACCGTCACCACAGTTTGCATACGACGACAGAAATAACTATAAACACAAATTTCACACGCTAAAAAAATAGAGAATAGAGAATGTTTCAAAACTCTTGTCGAAAAATTGTATCGATATTAACTATTCAAGTGGAAATTGTATCCATGTATTATTTTAAATACTCATATACAGATAAAAATGATCGAATTTAATCACTTTAAATAATTCTAAGTATATAGCGCCATGTTTCATCAACTTTTCGGTAATGAGCTATAAAAATAATATGAAGTTTCTAAAAAGATGATCAAAGTACAGCAATGACAATGTAAAGTTACAAACAAGCACGAATATTTAGAGGCAGATCACTATAAAATGTCAGTCCTGACAATTAGTTATAAAAAAAAAAATTAAAACTGTTTAGAAGATTTTTCAACACTTTACCAATAATAGATATCGTTGATGAACAATATCTTCGCTGTTTTCCAGCAGAAGCGTGTGTGATTAAAAAAAAATAGAGTCTGGAAATCTATATATAAGAGTGGGAGGGCAATGCAACAGTTGTCACTGTTGCACGAATGGGCAGGTCTGTCCGGGTCATGTTATACTTCGTTTCGTCTGTTGAGTGAGGTAGCCGGGGCTTACTTTATATTACCACTAAGAGGTGGCAACGCATCTACAACCTTACCGGAGTTGCTAATGTTCACCAGTTGTAATACGCAATGGGTTCGCGTGGCGGACTACGCTCTAATACCCTTTGTACATACGAGGCCTTTGTCCAGCTGTGGGATAGGCTGTTAGTTTACTTCAATAGTGTGCTGGACAATATAAGGTTTCAATGCTATATCTACAGATAGATTTGATTACTGGAGATAGAATTTTAACGTAACTATTATGGAACGGCGATGGGCCGGCCATATAGCTCGTAGAACCGGTAAACGTTGGGGAAGGAAGGTTCTCGAGTGGCAGCCTCGTATAGGCCATCGCAGTGTAGGACAACCCCCCACTAGATAGAGTGACGACCTGTGCAAATGTGCGGGCAGTCGATGGATGCAGGGTGGCTCAGGATCGTACTACGTGGCAGTCTATGGGGGAAACAGCCTATGTTCAGCAGTGGACGCAAACAGGCTGAAATGATGATGATTATGGAGCTAATGTCAAATACCAATCGCTAGTAACCAAATATATCTGTAGATAGAATATTGAAACCGGCCGATAGACGGTCGCAGTCTACCGAGAGCTGCGGCTATACTCCACCGTCTATTGCGTATGCACTCTCACCTGGTCCTGTTGAGACCGCTCTTCTTAGGCTCGCCGTCATCTTCTCCGTCGCTCTGTCCGGACTCTGTGCGCTTCCTCGCCTCGCTCTTCTCCCTCTGCGCCTCGTCCAGGTTGTGGATGCCGACCAGCAGCGAGTAGTCCATGATCTGAGTTAAGCTCAGGATACATATCAAGTGATTTAAAAACTATTAAGAAACGAAAACCTCACTATGGAATATTTTATCGTGACGATAAAGTGCTTTTCGTAACAATTTAAAAATAAATCAACATCCAAACCATATTAGAGAGAATAATTAGTCCTGAAATAGAGCCTAAGGTTGTTACCTAAAAGGGTAAAACGGGACCCTATTAATAAGACTCCGCTGTCTGTCTGTTACCAGGCTATATCTCATGAACCGTGCTAGATAGTTGAAATTTTCACAGATGACGTATTTTTGTTGCCGCTATAACAACAAATACTAAAAAGCAGAATAAAAATATTTAAGTGGGGCTCCTATAAAACAGACATGATGTTTTTGCCGTTTTTACAGATAATGGTACGGTCTCTTTGTGTGCGAGCCGCGAATCGCACTTGGCCGGTTTTTTAGTTTTAAGAATGTCATTCATTAGACATTACTCCTGCCAATCTCACATTTTACTGCCTTCATTAACATTTTTAACAAATAATCTGAGAGCAATTGGCAAGTCTACAGGGGCAGGCAAGAACATAAACCACAATCGAAAAACCGTAGCTCAATTCGTAAGTTTTGTTCTTGACAATTTTGTGTGAACCACAGACGATTATTCCGGGTGATTTTCGGTGTTTACTCTCAAGGACGGCCGCAAACCAATTATCCACATGTTGAGCCGCAAATAAGGGAATTACGATGATGAATTCAGCGAGGGGAATGCGAGGTTCTTCCTTAATTATTTTGCACCCAGCGACATCAACAAAGATTTCATCATCGAGTATCATTTTAAATGAAAAAAGGCTCCAATTGGCTGATCAACGAATTTAATGTTAGCCGTAAACTAATTGACGTCTACTGGTGCGGCTGTTAGAGGTCAAAGCGTCAAACCTTGAAGCTCTCCAGGACGCGGCAGTCCCTCTGCATCGTCTTGATGAGAGCATTGTACGTATCCGCCTCTAGGAAGATCCCTTCCGGATGATGCTCCATAAAGTCGAGATCCTTGTATGTTGGCGAGCTCTTCTGTCGTTCCCCTTTGCTTGCCTTTAAACGTAAATAATTACATGTAATTAAATAAGAGGAGGCCTTTATGCGTATAGGCTGTTACTGTACTTTACATAAATAAAGACACACAACACGACGGGATCTATATAGGTATGGATAGGCAAAGACAAAACAGCCCAGTACTTATTTCCACTCTGTTTGTCAGCGTAATTTCTCTTTTTGAAGTGATACTTCTTTTGGCGCGTTAGGGAAAAATTATGAGAGTAAATTTTTACGATGCGCACGCACACCGTCACGAAAAACCGACACCCTGAAGTTAGCTAGACGTCTACGTATGTTTGCGTGAGAACTGACAACAGTATTCACGATATTTATTTTGTGATATTTAAATAAACTTTATTTAACCAGATAATGCGTTATAATAAAACTTTCAATTTATTAAATACCTTTAATAATACTTCTATTGTTAGAGTCGTTTTTTCTACAAACGTAGATTATGGCGAAAGATAAAATTTTTCAAAAGATTTTTATCTTGTTACGCCAAAGTATATCTTCTACCACGTGTACATAATTACACACACACTTTTTCTTATCTTTGATTTGATTAGCTTTAGTTTAGCATCAATAAAAACATGACATCAATGAGGATTATGTTCCAATTTTTAACTCTACTGTGATAGAGCCTCGCAGTTGTGAAGTCCATGAAACAGAGACAGATTATTTTAAGATGTATATAGATTATACGAACCTTCCTCTTATACGTGGAGCCTTTGAGGTCGTACTTCTGGTGGAGCTTCACGGAGGAGGGCAGGAGATTGTTCATGGCGACCAAACGCACGTTCTTGCTGTTGCACTGGTAGCAGTAGAGCCCAAAGAACTTCGGTAGGAGCGTGCGTGGGTTCTGGAAATGAGGAAAACAAACAAACTAGACATATGATACACATATTCTTAATCTCGTAGCGGCGTTATGAAGGAACAAACTAACACACAAAATTGGAGCGTGCCTTCAAACGGACTCTTAGGACCGTGATACCTCAGTGTCCGGTCGTTCGCTTTTAATTTTTAAAAATAGGCGTTTTAAAAATATTTTTTTATAATATAATAACAAACAGAATTCAAATCCCAGATGTCGGCACCAATGAAGTTTTTAATTCCAATTTTTAATACTGACTTATCACGTGCTCAGCCGTGAAGGAAACCGGCATATTCGCGTCGATAATTTTAAAAACAATAAAAAAATTGGGAAATGATGATGAAATAAATCTCTTATGAATATAGGTTACGTTGATCTTTTCTTTATCTGTTCAACAATTTACCGAGATCTGGACAATATTACGTCCTTAGTCTATTTGCTATAAAGCCATTATTGAAATAGCTTTTATGTCTGTTCTTATGTTTGGGCATATTTCCATCCTAAAGTTACTGACTGATATCAGTTTGCCTGTAAAGTGCATTTGATTCGTATAATTGCGAGATATTTAACATTATCGCATCATAATTGACGTCAAGCGAACATTCAAGTGCTTATTGGGAACGCACTAGTGTTGACTGCTCTTCTACAGTATTAGTATTAAGGGAACATAAGTGACTACAGTTTTTCAAGAATTTAGATGGCACTCTATTGATTTACATCTGGTTTCTGAAACACTGATCAGCTTAGAAATTATTTAATCAACTGTCAAATGGCTTTTCAAATGTTATTAAAGTTCCCAAAAGGATGGTTTAACACCCTGAATTGATCAGAATGATTAATTCAAAGAATTTAACCATCCTTTTGGGAGACTTAAATGAAATTTGAAAAAGAAATTTGTCAGCTGATTAGTTAATTTCTACGATGACCAGTGTTTCAGAAACCGGGCGTTAGGTTTGTGAACTTCTATAATTCAGAATCTGTCTCATTAATATGAAGACTTTATTTCGGACGTAAGCGTTTTCTTTTTTTTTTTTTCTAATTATTTCATACTGTATATGTATGAGTATTATTCTTGACAACGGAGCTTTTCTTTAACTTCAGAGCGTTCAATTAAACCATACATTCCTTTTATACCCATATGAATTATGATAACACTATTCACATATAATATTTAAAAAAACATTCACGGTTCTTAATTGTATTTATCGACTGACTGGGGTCAAACGCAAATTTCAAACGCTACCTGATCGAGGTTCAAGTAGTATCCGGGCAGTAGCTTCTGCAGAAACTCCCCCTCCTTGTGCTGGACGGTCTTGATGATGAATTCGTCGTCGTTCGTCAGGTAGAAGATGCTTCCGGAGGCGCCGGGGTTGCTGAGCTCGCGCAGAGGCGCGCTGCACATCGACATCTGGGGAGAGAATACATACTAATATTACAAATGCCAAAGTAACTCTGTCTGTCTGACTCGCTTTCACGCCAAAACTACTGAACCGATTTAAAAGAAATTTGGTACACGGATAGTCTAGAACCTGAGAAAGGACATGGGCTATTTTTTATTGGAAAAAAAGTGTTGTAATATATATATATATATATATATATTATTTAAAGAAATATATTTATTTAAGGACTACAACGCGAGCGAAGCTGCGAGCGAAAAGCTACACTATTAAGTTCATACGAATTCCTTCAATTACGATCATATGACCATAAAATTAGATACGTATAAGACAGATATTTTTTTTTTTTTAGAATTATGATCTAGGAACAATGCCTAACGCTCTGGGCGATGGATTATATTATTTGTATAATCCACTTAAGGTAGCCTCTGTTCTAATGTAAAACAAATGTAATATTTTATGTAGCAAATTACTACTTTGACTTCAATTTTTAGAATCCTACTTTACGCTTTATCTATAAAAAAAGTGTAAGGTACTGTCCTAAAATGTTCTATATTATTCAACTTTTACTAGAGATAACTAATATTTACACTATAAAGTTCGATATTAGCTGTGTTAAAAATTGAAATACTTAATTTTTTAGCACCAAAAATAACACTTCATTCTAATGAAATTATGTGCGTAAAGTGTTAAGTGTTTATATATACAAACCGATGATTTGACCTACATTTTACATAGGACAATCAGAGATGGATGTGTAAAACACGTTTAAATAAATATGCACATACACTAACCGCTGCCACATTGGCACTAACGAGATACGAGCATTACAATAATCATGACTAACTGCAACATTGTTATTTTTAGAATACACAATCTAATTGAATCGTACAAAGGTGTACGATTGTTACTCTATTAGGGTTAGATTTATTTTACATATATTATCTTATTTATTATTTTACATATATCATTATTTTATGATTTGCTTTTGATTTCCCTCGCGTTTGATTTTGATTCTACGAACCTTTCACAGGGCCCACGTTCCAATGAAATAGTTAATTGTCATTTCAAGCGCAGACTCGAAGTCAAACTCGAAGTCGAACTCAAACATCTCGAGTCCCCAAATATTTTCGTAACAAGAATTTTAAAAATATCTTAAAAAATTGTTGCTAATCGACCGTGGGGGTAACCTCTACAGACGATTTTGCCCAGCAGTGGGACAAATAAAGGCCCTGGGTGCAGCTAATATTATACACATTCTTTTGTGTACTTATATAATTCAAATAAAGTAAAAAAGATAAGACTTCTCTGGACAGGTCTAGTTTAGAGAACCGATGGTAGTTTTCTTTGACTTTCAATAACTGCTTAAAATAATAGGCTTATTTTAAACACTTGAAACTTGAACAGGCCGCGTACTGTTAACCCTGTCTCATATTGTATGTATTTATATTCGCCTTGCTGACAAATTGTCTATAACATATTTCTTTACCATATCGTCTTTATGACAGCTCATCCATCTTTTATTCGTGCTCAAGAAGGGGTCGATGAAAACGTAACCGGGCAATGTTTACGTTTACATTCCTGTCAACTAACGCTAGCGCGTTGTCATGTTCGGATGGCTACGAACAGTTTCACGGAAAAAAAAAATAGACAACCCATAGACACATCAATGTAGTCGTAAAGTATTTTTTTTTAAATCAGAAGTTGTAAATTTCTCTGTTATAAAGTTGGCTATTGCTGAATTAGCGTTTTTGTTGAACTTATCAAAGAGCAAAGACATCGATAGGAAACATAGCATTTTATTAAGACTAATCGTGTGTTTTTCTCGCACAGTACTGCAACCAGTCACCGAATGGTAATGTTGTAATGTGCAAATAAGCATTTATCATTTACTGTTAAATTATTATTAAACTATTAATAGAAGTTAAATTATCAATAGATGGTAGATCGTATATTATTTATAGGATATATCTGTGCAGGTTACACAAATTGTCATGAACCAAACCCATGCCCCACGGGGTCTTATAACTGCGCTAACAGCTAGCCGACCTCAAGATTCATTACACATTTCACTACACGTAACCCATTAACCTGTTTTTGTATGCGGACGTCAACAAAATTTAGGGAAAATAATAACTAAATAACTCTCTAAGCACATGTAATATTATGTATATCTTAATCTTCTTCGAAGGCTATCTTTCAGATTATCAGAATATGTGGGAATGCTTGTAAATTCTTTTATGAAATTCACGAAACTCGTTGCGGTAGCATCTGAGAGATAATGATAAACGTATGATTTCCGTTCCTCCCACATGAACGCAGTGTTTTCATTAATGAGAGATATAGCCGTCGCCTCAATTCAATTTATTCATTTGAGAGCGTGTTTACGATAAACAAAAACGAGATTTCGGTCGTTATCTTTTCTAAATACTTTTATAAATTACATGGTTTTACTATATCTGCACAGTGTGATAATATATGATTTTTTTATCTGAACATTTTGCATGCGAGCATGCATGTCAACTTGGTGATGATAATTATTTGAGACAGCAAAGTGTCAAGGCACTAAGAAAAATCTATGTAATAAATTCTTCCATTTCAAGCGGGTTTTCTGTGAGGTCGTGGTAATTCCTCAGACGAGCATGCCTCTTCATGGAATAGCAGCCGTTACCATATTTAATGCATTCAGCATTAGCTACGTGTTCAATAAAACTACGTAAATGTTATCAACTGCTTTTGCAGTTATTTTGCCTCGAGTTTTTAGTATAAATTCCAAATGTTTAGATAACGTGTCGTTATAAATAATCATGATTTATGCCTGTTACAGACCACTGCTGAACATAGGGCACCCACTCAGACTGCCACGAAGCACGATCCTGAGCCACCTGCATCCCATCGACTTCCCGAACATTTGCACAGGTCGTCCTTTTATATCTCAGATGTGAACAACTGATCCGCCCACCATAAAGTGGCGGCTTGAACAAACTTTTATCATTGACTGTTTGCTTTCAAACAAGAAATGGTATAAATAAAATCCAAACGAGCACGAGTTGCCTCAATCAAACGCTGTTCCATTAGGCGATACATCATGAGTCATGGACGAATGAATTTCAGATTAATTATTCAACGACAATTGTACAGATTTATTTTTAATTAGAAAATAGGCTTAAATTTCGAATCCGCAGAACAAGCAATGGAAAGGCCAGCAAATAGTTATTTTTTTCGATCGTATGCCGTTATGGACGTGGACTACACAATATATAGGCTTATCGAACTATCGATTAGATGTTATCGAACAGTTAAGCAAAATAACAAAGGCTCCTTAACATCCCTAGAAGACAATATAGCCTTGTAACGTCTACCTGCAACAATACAATCTCTAAAGGGGCAAAATCCAAAAAAAAAATTAAGCATTTCGCGAAATGTATGTCATACTTTTTATTTGAATATACAGTAAGGTGCAAAACTGAGTCAGTATGTTACATTTTTATAAAAAGTAGCATAAAAATATTGGATTAATTAATTAATAACAAATAAATGATTTCATTAAAAACTAGATTTATTCATTAATTTTATTAAGAAAGTCCGATAGTCTTGAACATACTTTTGGTTTATAATTATCATAAGAAGAATTGGTTCACTTTTGCACCAGTTAAAAAAAAATACTGATTTCATAATTTTAATATTTAGTCAAAGACCTTTTGCTTTTATAACAGCACGCAATCTGTTCTCCACACTTTTTACAAGTCTTTCACAATACTCAGGTGGAATTTGGTACCACTGCTCTTGAACACGTTCCCAGAGAACAGTAATGTTCGATGGTGGTGCTTTATATTCATTTAAAAGCATGCTCCTCAAGTATGCCCATAAGTTTTCTATCGGATTGATATCCAGACTCTGAGATAGCCAGGGCAGGACCTGAAACTCTTGTTTACTCAACCAATTTTTTACTATTTTCGATGTGTGCTTCGGATCATTATCTTGCTGGAATATTACTTCATTAACAGGGTACGGCATATTTTCAACAACTTCCAACAGATGTGTCTGAAGAATGTTGCGATACATTTTCCCGTCCATATTTCCTTCGATTTTGTAAATTGGTCCAACGCCATAAGCTGTTAGACAGCCCCACAATTTAATATTGCCACCACCATGCTTCACTGTTTGTATAAAATCTTTTGCTTGTAATGGTTCACCGACTTTCTTCCAGTTTCCTTTTCGACCATCTGTACTGTATCTATTAATTTTGGTCTCATCTGACCAAATAACTCTCATCCAATCATTCTTAGTCCACTTAAAGTATTCTTTTGCAAATTTATTTCTTACTTTGATATTTTTCTTAGTAAGAAGAGGTTTTTTCTTCTTCTCGATAGCTCGCATATTTGCTTTGTGTAACCCCCGACAAACAGTCCACTTACTCACTGACGTGCCAGTGTCTTGCTTTAAAATTGCTGCCGCTTCAGAAGCTGAAGACGCTTCATTAGATCTTAAATAGTGAATAACTTTTCTTATGTCTCTATCAGATAATTTTTTTGTGCGTCCGCCAACATTAATCGGTATAGGAAATTTACATTTGGTTTTAATTCTTTGTATTGTTGATTGACTTACGTTTAATTCTTGAGCGATATATCTTGTCGATTTCCCATTTTTAAGTAGCTCTTTAACATATTCTATAATATTCTTTGCAATCGGTTTCATGTTTGTATCGAAAAGAGATGTATTAAGTTAAACCGTTCACTACGCTGTATCGAATTAAACTGAGTAATAAACAAAGCGGAATCATATTTCTATACTAATCATGACAAGTTTAAACACGTTTATACTTGAGCGCGAAGACATTTTTTTAACACGGTGCAAAAGTGAGTCAATCAATATTAACTATCTCAAAGTTTTAAAGCGTAGATATTGGATAAAAATTGTACGGGTGAAATAATTAGTGGGTTATATTTTCTAATAATAACATATACGATTTCAAAAGCTTTTAACTAGTGTTGATTGATTGATTTGATAAAAAATGTCAGTGTACTGACTCAGTTTTGCACCTTACTGTATATTTCGCGAAAAACTTAAAAGGTACCTCTGAAGTTTGCCCATAACATTGTCATAAATTAAAGTAGGTGTTTGAGGAAGTCCATATAGGTCTGCGAGAGGGATCGTCCTGTCGTTCACGTCGCTTAACCGATCTCCATCTCGCTCACACTACACGTAAGTGTATCGTTGCGAACAACACTATCATTCCATTTCGAACATATTTTATTTAGGTATTCCAACATTCTTATTAAGCAATAAATAGATTATTGTTATCGAAGGTACAGTCGCAGAGCTCACAGAGCCGACGTCATGTATTTAGGTTGCAAGCCTAAACTGACCTATTAAAAACATGCCACATTCTACAGACATCAGATGAGCCTCCTTACCAAAAAGTCGTCGGGTTGTATCCCAAACAGGTCCCTGAAGTAGCGGAAGGCGATAGGCGCGTACGTCTTGAATTTGAACTCGGAGTAGTGGTGGGCGGGCGTGTGGTTGGAGCCCTCGTGGGGGAAGTTGGTCGTCTCCACCGTCATGAAGTCCTGCATGAGAAGGTCGCGCTCCGGCTTAGATGCGAGGCCGCCGATCGCGTGTTGGATGCCTGTTGAGGTGGAAAAGGGTTGGTTATAATAATTATTAACCTTACTGTATAAAACTTGGACTTTATTTTTTTCTTTTGAAAGAAAAAAAAATTATAGTCTTTATGTCCTAGTAAATCTCAGGTGCATATGCCAGGTGCATGCCCATTCGTGCAGCAGCCTTGGCTGTTGCACGAATGGGCAGGCTCGTCTGGGTAAGTACCACGACCTCACAGAAGACCGGCGTAAAGTGGAAGTACAATAATACTTTCGCGTTTCGTCTGGTGAGTGAGGTGGCCAGAGTCTAATTTTCTAAAGGTTGTCAACGCATCTGGAACCCTCGAGTGTAGCAGATGTCCATGGGCGGCGGTATTCACTTAGCATCAGGTGAACCGTCTTGGCAACGTTTCACATTAAAAATAAAATTAAGATATGCGTGAAGTGAAGGGTAGATTCACTGAACACGGATCCAGCCAAAGCAAAATCACTCAACCTGAATACCGTAGATAACTAGATACTAATAACATTCCATACATATACGTATATATATATAAACCCATGCGACGAGATCCCCGATTAGTAATCATTGTCGATTGGTATTAACATCCAGGCCCAAACGGAACTACTCCGAATATGGCGGCTTTGCGATAAGACCACTAGGCACAATTGTATCTACATTACTTCCCGCGCAAAATAGTAGAATCGAATTGTTAATTACTATTTGGAGACGTGATAGTACTATTTAAATGAGGTCGATAAACGCTAATTGAAAATTATAATTAGCTTAACTTATCGTGTAAAAAACACAGAATACAAAAGCTTTTATTCGTACTTTATGTTATTAAAAAATAATGTTCTGAAACTCTTAAAGCATGGTGTAAATCATAGTATGTTTGGACGTATACAAAAGAGCAAATACAACCAAAGCTATAACGAAGAAAAGTAAGAAAAAGCTTTGTAAAATGTCATTTACATGACATGAGGCGAAAGTAAAAAAAAATATTTGGACAATTCAAAAGCGCATTCGGTCAAGCTATCGATCATGTTACAACTTATGTAACAAGCGATTAGTAAAGTGTAAATAAAAATGCAAAAAAAACTCATCGAGCAATAAGTTTCAGTTAATTGTTAAACATTAAGGCAAAATTAAACTTTAAATTAAAAAGGATGAAAATGATTTAAGCATTTGAGAAAGAATTTGAAAATGGAACAGCGAAAAAAACAAAACTAACCGACGTCCATGGTTCAGCTGCGCGGCAAACAGCCGACGTAAGGTTCGCGTTTCGCACATGTAAACACATTCTACCGTTCGCCTATCGAGTTTTCTATTTTTAATCGTCTATGATGGAAAAAGGTTACGGTCATAGTTCAGGTGCTTCTTTTTTTTCTTATTAGCCTAAGAGCCCCACTACGTTCAAACTATTATCGATTTTTATTCCGCATTATACCACATTCCACAATTGTTTATGTATTTTTACTTTATAATAAAACTGTCCGATTCGTCTGTTATTTAAATTGTTTATAGTGCTAATCTTTGCACTTAAGATTGAACAGAAAAATATGTAGAAAAAGTGCGAAAAGATTGAAGAAAGGCCGCGAATGCCGAAGACGTGGGTTCGATTCCCACAACGGCGACAATCTTTTCGCACTTTTTCTACATATTTTTCGTCTGTTATGTTTAAATAATCGATTTTAGCGAGACACTGTTGAAAAAACCTCGGACATGCAGAGTATTTGCCGCCGTTAACTAACCATCGCAATAAACTGGCTTTGTAAAATGTCACTTGACAAGTAAAATAATGTCTGGATTCTCTATAACTTTTATTGTTTCGACGAAGCGAAAGTAGGTATAATAATTGCCTGATATTACAAGTCCATCGCAGCCGACAGAAGTAGTAAATCCTATAGATTGGGTATAATAAGAGATAATATTTGATAGAAGGTATAATAATTTGTACTTTACAAACCCATACAACCTCATAGATCTCCTAATTCTCTCACTATCAACAGATTTATCAAGTTCCAAAACTTAGTAGATCCACATGAATAGACCCCAGAGGGAGGTCAATTTAATGCTGAATGGGGTTCGAACCGTGACATAAGATCGTAATTTCAAGACCCAATCCATTTGGCTGCTACTGCCAAAAAAGAAGGAAATACAAATTTCATTATGCTGATAAAATTGCCATAAAATTTGGCCAAAGATATATTAAGATATACGATTATCGATAAACGTCTTTTGCAAATGCTCAATAATAAACACCTACTTCCTGCGTCTTAGAGGAAGTCGCGGATAGCGTCAAGAATGGCGGTGCTTATCTAATTCAATGTCAAATGCCAATGGACTGGAAGAATTACGTGAAAATCGTGCGTTGAATAATTGATAAGGAATTGGTTTGTATACGAAGTTGTACGAGAATGTGTACCTAATTTTAACACTGCACCCGCCATGAATCTTGAAACTCTATTTTTGCAACATTTTACAATTCTTTATCTACAAAGTCAATGGAAAACGTAAACAAACGTGTTTGTTTTTATAAGGTGATAAAAAAACTTATATCTGATATAAAGTATTCACTGCCTCCAATATCACGATCGGGTTGCAATTGCGTTGACAATTGTTAAAGGGCCCATCCATCTCTTAAATATCTTTCTCTAGAAGAAATGCGAAAGTATAAATACATACTTAAATTTTACACCCGTCTTTCGTGACGCCTCACACGCATTCACACATAAAAAAGATAAAAAGTGAGACGAGAAGATAAGAAAGAAAGCCTTCCGATTTAAAAAAAAAACTTCAAGAATGGCAGCACAGCACCCGATGTTAAGAGAGGACTGCAGAACGAAGACACTCACAAAATCAGAGGTCAAACCTAGGAAACCTACATTTTTCAAAATCAAAATAATAACAAAATTCCGAAAACATGTGAAGTCTGCCAATCCGCAGTGGAATCGCGTACCTACTGTCTATAAAAAGGAGGCCTTTGTCCAGCAGTGGGGGACATATCGGTCGTTACTTTAAGTTATCGAATGTTTAACTTGTTTTCAACTAACTTTAATATCATTCCTTTGTTTAAATAAATGTGTTCTTGCTGGACGTAATTTCGATATTTTTCCGTTCACATTCGGCCAAGTGGAAAGCACGAATGAGTTCTGAGTGCTTCGGATTTCTTATGTGCAAAAATCACCTTATTCAATTGTGTCCAACATACAGCTCAGCGTCTATCACGTTCGGGAAGACAATGGCCTTGGAAAAATGTGGAGCAGACCTTGGAAAGACGTGGAAGCTGGTCAAAACTAATCAAGAGGCAATAAACAACGTCTAAATGAAATAATTTTTCGTTGCAAGGAGAACCGGTGATGTTATGTTTAAACAATAAGAAAATGCCTATCTCAGCAACAAATTATTTGGTGGTTTATATTTATTGAGTTTTGAGTCTTGTATTTATATTTATAGCTTTTAAATATTAATGTATAAGATTTTAGAACACAAGTTCATGTAATCGTCGACGTATTTAGTTATTTTGTATCCAACTCTGTCGTCACTGACGTCGACATCTTAATGTTTAATCTTCATCGTACAAATATTAAAAATATCTAATCTTGAAACATTCCCATAACCATTTCGTGAATTTGTTATCCAAATGTTGTCCAACTGACGGTATTTTAAATTTGTATCATTATAAAAGTTTGTTTGTAAACTATAATTACAAAAAGAAATAAAAAGAAAGTATTACGGTATTTTCCATGAGAGGAGATTTATTAAGAATTATATCTGAAAATTATAATTACTAAACATTTTATTATAAAAATTTATTATAATAAAATGTTTTTCCATCTTTTTGCTTTTTAAAAAAATATTACTTCCCATTCTTTTTAGGTTTTTAGTATGAAATTTTTCATAATATGCTTGTCAAAAAATTAAAAAATCAAAATTACTATGAAAAAATCTCTTTCTTGGGGGACAGGATCCTAAACCTTATGGAGAACAACTTACAAAAGTTTCACACATTCGGATAATTGATTTAGGAATGGATAGAGGCCTATTCATTTTTATAAGCGAGAAGAATAATCTGAAGCAAACAGGGAATTTGCGAATTGTACAAAGCACTAACTATATCTTTATACTTTTATTTTTATTTATATCAATCATGTCAGAATTATTTCATTACTTCTCCAAATTAAGACTCAATTTTAATAATAAGGGCGGAGTTGATTCGAAAATAAACTCTTTTATGGCACAATACAGTTTCTGACAATACGAATAAAGAATGCGCTTGACTTCTATCATCAATAGAGTTTTAAATTATGTAGAATATGAATCCTAATACATAGCTCAGCTACTGGAACCATTCATCTATTAGGAAGGTGGGAAATGATCAGGCGTTGCGCCTGATGTTTGAAGATGGCGGCCGCTTTGGACATCTATAAAACTTGAATGGTTGCTTATGCGACGCCAGCCTTGTAAAAAACGGAACCCCGGATAAGTCGCTCTCAAGGCGAAATGCAAAAGTGTCCTGTCCTAAAACATTGACACAGCTATTATCAGATCAATTTATACCAACTACATAAAAATGTACGCTTTTGAAGTTACACATCTTACCTCTGGCGCGTTTGAAAAAAAATATAGGAGTGATTTTTTACGATGTGAGACACCTACAAGCGACACCAATTTTATGGTGTTACCATGGCAACAAACAAATTTTTGACATTATTAAAGTATTATCAATTGCATTTAATGTCTTTTTTTCACAAACAAAGCAATGCCACGGAATAAATTGTTTATATTGTATACACACATAAGTACACACATGCAGTTTTTTTATTGTATTATTTTATTTTTGTTATTTTATTTTTGTTATTTTATTGTTTTTTTTATATATTTTATTAACATTCTAAATTCATCTAAATTTTTTCTTGAAAAAGTGCATGGAACTAAATGTAGGCGTGAACCACGGGAAATAGTTTTCGACATTTCTAAGATTATCTAGAAGAATAGATTACTAAACCGTCATTTCTTTTA